TGTATTCTCAGTGTGTGTTAGTTATGTGTACCCTGGCAAAGGATCCATCACCCCGCATCGCAGCCCTTGGCCAGCGTGTCCTGTCCATTATCGGTATCGAGCAAGTGGTTGCAAAACCTGTCAAGCCTACTAGTGAATTTGCTGCAGCTCCTAGCACCAGTTTTGCTGGGCTGGCTCGATCATCGTCTTGGTTTGACATGAATGGAGGTATCAATCATTGGGCATGGCAACAAATTTCACAAATTTTAGCATTTTTTAACTTTTAATTAATGTGCATTCTTTTGATCAATAATTTGGCACTTTGCTTGCCACTGTATGTTTAATGAGATTTCATTTGATTGCTTGCAGCCAGTCATCTGCCTTTAACATTCAGAACTCCTCCGGTTAGTCCTCCTCGTGCCAGTTACATGACGGGACTCCGGAGAGTTTGTTCACTCGAGTTTAGGCCACACTTGATGACCTCTCCAGACACTGGGTTGGCTGACCCACTTTTGGGCTCAAGCGGACCTTCTGGAACTTCTGAGCGCAGTTTTCTACCACAATCGACCATATATAGTTGGAGCTGTGGTCACTTCTCAAAGCCGCTTCTTACTGCGGCTGATGACAGTGAAGAGATGATTAGTAGAAGAGAAGGGAGAGAAAAGATGGCCCTCGACTTGATCACAAAATGCCAACACTCTAGTATGCCTTAAGTTTCCATAATATTTTTCAGTCTACCTGTTGCGACCAGTTTTTCCGTGAAAGTTGTGTTGCTTTTTCACAATTGATCTGAATCTGTTCTAAAGTTTATCTTCCTTTATCAGATGTGAGCAAGCTGCATAATCAAATTGCCAGCTGGGATACAAGATTTGAAACTGGTACCAAAACTGCCTTGTTGCAGCCATTCTCACCATTCGTGATTGCATCAGATGACAGTGAAAGGATCAGGTAAGGAATCAGATTTCACTCCCTTGAGGATGCTATGATATAATTGACCCAAAATTCAGTTAAGCATCTGCAACACCATGTATTCTACTTTTGACAGGAGATGATATATATATATATATATATATATATATATATATATATATATATATATATATATGTATGTAGAGAGAGAGAGAGAGAGAGAGAGAGAGAGAGAGAGAGAGAGAGAGAGAGAGAGAGAGGAATGATCCTGTCCAGTCGGAGGGCTGGGACCCCCCTTTTCGGATGCCGCCGTTTGCGGTGGTTTCCGGTGGAGTTTTTTGAGTATGTTACTCATCAAGTCTAGTTTATCCACAAAAAAATTCAGCTAAAAATTCGATCGGGGAGGCAGTCAAATAATTTTTTGAAGATAACTGCACCAAATTATACATATAAAACGCAGTTGTTTTCAAAAATTTATTTGACTGACTTCTCGATCGAATTTTTAGCTGAAATTTTGTGTGGATAAACTAGACTTGATAAGGAACATTCTCAAAAAATTTCATCAAAAAGTACCTCCAACCAGACAAGATCTTTTTCATATATATATATATATATATATATATATATAGAGAGAGAGAGAGAGAGAGAGAGAGAGAGAGAGGTTCAAATACATAGTACCCCATATGAAAAATGAGAAGTGATCATAGCCATTAAAATGAGAAAATAAGTAGTAGATCAGATCAATTTTAAAGGGCAAAATGCGATGATAAGTGTAAATATCAGGAACTTTTTCAAAAAATAAAGTGATAAATGTGCATCGCTGTGGAGAAAAGGCACATTTGACTAACACAAAAGTGCATTGTTTTCAAAATAAAATACTCCCTCAGTCCCATTCTGTAAGATGTTTCCTATTCACTTGGTCAACACAAATCACTCTTAAACTCTTACTTTATATATAATTTTTTTTATCAAATTTGATTCTGGTTTTTGCGACTTTGTAAAGCTTTTAATGTAGTTTCTAAATATATAATTCTTTTTTCTAAAACTAATTTGAGTGCGGACAGAGATTTGTTTGCTTTATCGCCGGTCAAACATCGTAGACCGTAAAATGCCTTACAATTCGGGACGGAGGGAGTAATAGTTATAGAAATCGTTTTGTGATATTTTTCAATGAGGTGAATGTGCAGTCTTACATATCGCATACACGCTTTTACTATTAAGTATTGCACTATTAGGTTTAGCATTTTTCCATTGCAATTTTTTATCTATTCCGTTCATTTTTAAGTGATCAAGGGGTCAGACCACTTCTCATTTTTCACAGGAAATCTCTTTGTATTAGAACCCACCTTGATATATATATATATATATATATATACACATATATACATATATACATATATACATATATACATATATATATATATATATACATATATATATATATATATAGACACACACACACACTACCGATAGACTCGCCATCCGGCTGAGGCCTTTTGGGGCCCTTCCCAGTGGAATTTTTTAATGAAATTTTTTGAGCATGTTCTTCATTATGTCTATAGCTTATCCTCAAAAAATATCACCTAAAAATTCAATTGGAAAGGCAGTTAAATAAAGTCTCTACACAAACTGCGCCGTTTATATATATATATATATATAAAGCACAGTTTTTGTAAAGAATTTATTTAACTGCCTTCCCGATTGAATTTTTAGCTCAAATATGGTGGGAATAAAGTAGACTTAATGAAGAACATGCTCAAAAAATTTCATCAAAAAATTTTAGGTGAAAGAATTCAAAATCCATAACTTGGATTGTGTATGTTTTAAACCGTAATTTGATGTTAAGATAAGGGTATTCAAATGGATAAGAATGTCGTGTGTAATTTTAATTATTTGACTTCTTTATTTTGCAAGCTCTATAAAATTGTGTATGGTTGTGCTAGGGTATGGAATTATGAGGAGGCAACCCTGCTGAATAGCTTTGATAACCACAGCTGCCCTGACAGAGGAATCTCAAAGCTGTGCTTTGTGAACGAACTTGATGAATGTTTGCTTCTTGTTGCCTCAAGTAATCCTAGTGCTTCTTTTAGTCACTCCAGATCTAATGTTGAAACTGTGAAATGTTCAATAAGTGATGTGTGTACTCTTTTGCAGGTGATGGCAACATCCGCATCTGGAAGGATTATGCATCAAGAGGCCGGCAAAAGTTGGTCACCACATTTTCTTCAATTCAGGGTCACAGAGTGGGTATGCGTAATGTGAATGCTGTGGTCGATTGGCAGCAGCAATCTGGTTGCCTGGTAAATTCTCATCCGCCAAGTAGTAGAGTTAGAAGTTGATATGTGTGTATATCTAGGATCTGAGTAATAATGTTCCACCGAGCAACTATATGCATTTACCTGCGGACCTGCATAATATGCTTAATTATTCTACATTACAGAAGTGAAATCAGTAGATTGATATGTGTTTGCACATGTATTCAGATGTTGCTTAACTTGTCATTTCTATTTTTATGCAACTTATTAATTGTTTCATCAGTTTGCATCCGGTGAAAGTTCATCAATATTGACTTGGGATTTGGACAAAGAGCAGCTTGTAAATACCATTCCATCATCCTCAGAGTGTAGCATTTCTGCATTGGTTGGTACTTCGTTGGTGTAACTGAATTTTTATTATCCATCAGTATGATGGCTTCAAATTGATATCCTTGGTAGTGCAATTTATCTGTTGATTTTACATTTTGTTGGCCTTGTGCAGTCAGCTTCACAGGTTCATGGAGGTCAATTTGCAGCTGGTTTTGTAGATGGATCTGTTAGGCTATTTGACATCCGAATGCCACACATGTAAGGCAAAGTTTGTAGCTATTCCTTAATGTGCAATGCTGTAGTGAACCATTTACACCTTTGTAATAATGACCTTAGTGTTGTCTATGAACATGCCTCATTCGTCGATTAGTTTTGTTGTAGTAATTTAGATGACACTATATATGTAGTAGGTAGTTACACTGATGGACTTGTTTTAGTAATAGGTAGTTACACTGATGGACTTGCTTGTTACTGGTGATCCTCATTTATGCAGGCTTGTTGCTACAACTCAACCACATACCCAAAGAATAGAAAGAGTTGTAGGAATTGGGTTTCAACCTGGACTGCAACCAGCTAAGGTGGAAAATTGTGAATCTGTTGCAGTATATCTATTAGGTCTTGTTTTTTCAATATTTAATAGAGATTTGAAGCGATGATATTTGTACTGGGCTTTTGTCAGATTGTGAGTGCATCTCAGGCTGGGGACATCCAATTTCTTGATGTGAGGAACGTGAAGGATGCGTACCTAACAATTGACGCTCATAGGGGATCACTGACGGCTCTAGCTGTTCATCGGCATGCACCACTCATAGCTAGTGGCTCAGCGAAGCAACTCATCAAGGTGTTCAACTTGGAGGGCGAGCAGTTAGGCACGATACGGTATCTATCCACTTTCATGGCACAAAAGATTGGGTCTGTGAGATCCCTGGCATTCCACCCGTATCAAGTTCTCCTTGCAGCCGGTGCTTCAGATTCCTGCGTCTCTCTGTATGCTGATGATGTCACTCTCCCAAGATGACATAAGCTTCCTGAATAGACCCCCAAGCTCGAGTTGGCATTGAATACCTAACAATCCATCTGACGATCAGGTCGTCACCCCATTTGTGTATGTTGTCATATTCGTTGAGCCTCCATTGACATACTCATCGAAGTTGGTTGGGTGTCTCGACCCTCATCTTCGGAGGCTTATCTAATAATTTGATGCATAGGTAAAGAAAGATGTAAATATCTCCCCCGTCTCCCACCCCCCTGTTATTTAGTTCCTGTTGATTTAGTGTGCTGCATTTATTATATTGAAACTCTGTTCATCTGTATAGATCAACTGGTCTGCACCTTATTTACATAATTTAATTTCATTCCTCATTGTGAACATTTCCCTTTATTTCATTCCTCATTATTGTGAAAATTTCCCCTTCACTTTTCAGAATACATTATTTAACCTTTCCTTGTAGCATCTAATTAATAAAAACATCTCGGTAAAGGTACTACTCAGCTAAGAAAATAAACATTTCACAAGCATATCTTGAAAACATCTGTGACAACCAACTCAACAAGATCAATCTTCTTAATAGGCAGTTCTTCCTCCAAACAAAATTAAAAACAAAGCCAAGAGTTGCAGAAAGAAGGATTGCATTTCAATGTACACATCACATATTGACAGTATCATATAAGGATAGACAGCCACCAGCCATTGTAAGAGTATATATGGCTGATGGGATGAGTATGTAAGTTGTTTGGTTGAGACTTGAGAAGTTTTGACTGATGCAATTATGTGCGCTTTCCAGACATACGGGCTGAGGGGTTATATGTCATCTTGAGTTTCTGGTTTTCATCACCGAAAACGTTTAGATCTTCAAACAGCCTATATGAGGGAACAAATGTTTTCTGTGCATTTGGTGCTGGTTGGGGGGTTGATGAAATCTGTGCACCAACTGCATCCTTAGAATCGATTCCTCCACCAGCTTGGACTGGATTTTCAACGTTGGCACTGACCGGCGGAGGAGTTGAGAGGAGGGTGTAAGTTGAGCGGTTACTGCTGAAATAACCGGGAGTTGAAGCCCAAGGTGGAGGCGGGTAAGCACTAGCAGCAGCAGTAGCAGAGTAGTAAGAGTATTGATGAGGAGGATCAGGTTGGGCCTGGTGTGGCGGCGGCGGCTTAGCCCAAGGAGCTACATAGTTGTTGAAGGCTGCTGTCCCTGAATTGGCAGCCTCTTGGTCGCCAATAGGAGAAAGGGGTGTATGGTGAACGTGATCTTGTGGAGTATGTGCTGCACGTGGTGGAGAAGATGCAGTTGTTGCCAAGGTTAAGGCCCCCAAGAGCTCGTTGATTATATCTTGTTCTTCCTCTTTTTTGGTTCTCACTGGTTCTGGCGGGTCACAAAGAACCAAAGCACTGCTGCTCATGTCTGCTGAATCTGAGAACATTGCCGTTCCATTCATCTGAACTTGTGCTGTTTTCGAACAATGCCTGCATTTATTTATTTCCCCCAGTATTACAACAATCTTAATCAGAAAGAAATGAAAGATTAAAGAGAACACATGACCGGTTTTCCCGTTTTTGACTGGCACCAGTCCAAAACAAGACCCGACCAGCTACGTTTTTGTAAAATATAAGAACGGGGCTGTCCAGTCTTTTGCAAGGAGAATGACCAGTTGGTCCTGGATAAGAAAGGACTGGTTTAAATTTTAAAAAGGCTAAAAAGCCGGATCAGAATTGGCTGGGGCCATCCCTACATAAAACTCTGTAGCATACCTTCTAGCCAACTGAGCAAAGTCATCGTCTTCTTCTTCGTCTAAAATAGGTATGGGGGGTTGGGCAACAAGATCATAAGAGGGTTGTTTAGTGTCAGGTGTTGCTGCAGCCGCTGCATTTTCTGCTACTTTTGGGGTGGCAGGCTCCGGAGATGATGGCTGATGATTAATGGTTGCTGAGACTGAGCTTGGGAATGCAGTGGCACCAGAAGCAATGACATCATGTTTTGCAAGCACACTTTGTAGACTATCATTCAATTCCAGACCCTGTGCTAGAAGCTTTTCATCCCTGATATCGTGGATTTATATTTCATTTGCAATCATGGATTTATATTTCATTTCCATAAAAGGACAAAATAACTTGGATGCTATATGGATTCCAATTTCATACCCAGAACTAATTCACTCCAGATTTTTTTAAATACTACAAAATAAAGATCAAATTTGCAACTTAATTGTGAACAGGGCAAGACAGACTGTTTAGTCTGGGGAACTGGGGAAGAACTCAAACAAAAGTCCAATTCTTTAGTTGGACATACGTGTGTTCACTCCATGGAAACAGCTGATTTTTACACCAAAAAAGATAAAACATGTATGCCAAGTGAATGTGCTCTTACTGTACTTAGTTTTTGGTTTGTATTTAGTTTTTCAAAATATAAATATACAGTTGTTAAATATTTTATACTTTGTGTACAGTAAAATTTACTAAAAATGACTCAGAGGTCAAAAAGGTAAGCAGTACCTCTTCTATGTTTTACCATCTTGAATGTCAACATTGCTCAAGTCGACAGCTTTGACAAAATTGCTAAATTCGACAGGATTCTTAAACCAGGAAAGAGAACTTACCCGGTTGTAGTCAACATCTGCATTAGTTTCTTTTGACTGGCACGGCAGCGGTCAACAAGATCAACTATAACTTCATTTTTCACACCCTAAACATGAAATGTAAAAGAAACTCAGGACCTAATGGATCAGCTGATAAAAAACAGAGAGTATGTTATACTACTTCCATCGTCGTCCTCGTCCTCGTCCTCGTCGTCGCCGTCGTCAGGGGAGAGCAACCCGACCCTATCCGATTGACCCGATATCCGATTTTTTTTGGGGTCGGAAAACCTGACCCGAAATACCCAAACCCGATCCGATTCTTGCAACCCGAGACTTAAGCGGGTAGCGGGTAGGGTTACCAATTATGCTACCCGACCCGCCCGAAAAACCGAACTAGCGTAGTATATATACTACTTTGAATTATTATGCATGTTCAAATATCTCAATTATTGTATGCTAATTATCATATTTGCATGTCCAAATATTCCAATTACCGTATTTGTACAGCTATAATTTTAAATGTTGTATTATTATGACTTTGAATGATATTTTGACCAATTATCATTTTATTTATCACAATATCAAATATGTCAATAACAGTATATTATTATTTTACATGTTCAAATATGTCGATTACCGTATTTATACAACTATTACTTTGAATGTTATAATAGTATAACTTTGAATGATATTTTTACCAATTTCCATTTTATTTATCACAATTTCAACAATAATAAATTAAAATCCGAATGGACCCGAAAACCGTATCAACCCAACCGCAACCCAAATTTCTTCAACCCGAAAAACCCGATAATTTTTTTGATAGGGTAGGGTTTGAAATTATCAATCCGATACCCGAACGGGTTTACCATTTTTGAACCCGACCCGCCCGAACCGTGCTCTGCCCTAGTCGTCGTCATCATCATCATCATCATCATCATCATCATCATCATCATCATCATCATCATCATCATCATCATCATCATCATCATCATCATCATCATGTTTTACAATTCCCTCCCTTTGTCTCCTTGCCTAAAACTTATTCAATCCAAATGGAGTCATTGTTTACCCCCTCAATTACAATCGAGACGTTACCAACCTGCCCTCTCAATCCGAACACAATGGAGTGGAATTAGTTATACTAGAGAGAGAGTGCACATACTGTATGATCAGTTATAATCGAGAGAGAGTGCACATACTCATTGTTTACCCCCTCAATTACAATCGAGACGTTACCAACCTGCCCTCTCAATCCGAACACAATGGAGTGGAATTAGTTATACTAGAGAGAGAGTGCACATACTGTATGATCACCAGGATTCACAGCTTGCAGCATGTCAGCCAAAAGATGAACAACATCCCCCATTGAGCTAATGGTTGATAAACTGCCCAATCATAAGGATAACCAATGTGTTACAATTTACAAAATACAGATCGTCGAAATACACACTAGAACTAATTCTCACCTCAAACTTTCCATCTCAGCTGCCATGGCTTCATCAAGTCTTGTTGAAGAATTGCCTGGCATTCCATAACCTGGTTGATGCTGTCTTGGTGGAGTAAATTGTACACCAGACCGCTGCCACAAATCTTAACACGTTACTAACCCCTAAAACTTAACAATATTTGTGAATTGGAAATTGCTCAAAATAATACCAAAACATAAAAGTTCTAAAATAGGATCAAGTATGTTTTATTCCTAAAATAGGACTTATTTAATCCTATTACAAGAATAAAAGAATAAAAACTTCCCTATATAGGAGTGCATGAGTCCTATTTTGGGAAGAAATCAATGTAACTCCTATTTGACAAAATATAATTGGTTGTCTTATTTAGGGGATTTTCCCCTTACATTACCTTTGATGTGAAAAGAAGAATGAAATGTAGTTTTTACAAATATTTAAAATTCCAAGTATGTATAATAGACATATATAAATAAGACTCATTATTTTTTGGCTTGGGAATATGATGGAATAAAGCAAAATGACTCACTAAACTATCTGTTCTTCTTTGTTATGAAGCAACAATCAAGCAAATTTCGACGCGATTTTCACAATGGGTGATCCGGAAACAGTCTTTTTGTGCTTTAGTACAAGAGTAAGACTGCGTACATCCGACCCCGCTTACCCCACCGTAGGTGGGAGCCTTTGCGTCACTCGGGTAATGATGATGATGATACATAAATAAGATGGGTACCAACAAATGCCAACTAAAAATTTATTGAGTTTTAACATATCTTTTACGATCTCTTCTTTCCTTCCATTGTTTCTCTATGTTTACTTTCCTACTTTAGTCCCCAGGACCCCAAGTACTTTCCAGGTTCCAAACAGACCTCAAGTGTTTCCTGATAATATCTCATGCATAAATACGCAACACACAAACTACATACAAACTGTTTCTCTTGAAAATTCAAGCATAAAAAAACGAACTTGTGATTAAACATATTAGTATATCACAAAATAAATCATCAATAACTTACCCTGAGTTCATCATACGCCCAATAATACTGAGTATATTTCCCTCCCGGACCACCAAATGCCTCATGCCAAGAGTCTAGCAGGCCAAGGATTTTATCTCTAACATGCATATCAGTCTGGATGTATATCAAGATTTGAAAGATGAGATTTTGATTGGCCATAAAGCAAATAGTAAAGGAAGAATTAACGCAACAATGTACATATAACACCCTCCCTCCACCCCACCCAAATGCCAAAAAAATATTAAACCCACTCATAAAAATGTACAAACCCCCAAAAATACCTATTTAGGTCTAAGATGGCTATGAAAATTTGCAAGTCATGCTAAAGTCTATTAATCACAAAGAAACATGAGATATTCTTAAAAACCAGACCCAAAGAATTTTACAGGAAAACAAAAATAATGACAAAAATGTTGTAATAACCCTCAAATTAAGATCCTATTGAGCATCAAAATGAAACTTGCCTTCTTCTTTACAGTTTTGACCATATCTTGCGGTATATTTCTCTCAGCAATTTGAAAGTGCACAATATCGCCACAGTTTTTCACCATTGTCTCTAGAAGCTAAGGAAAAGACAAAGAGGAAAATCCATACGGAATGAATCCCTTTAAAGATATAAAGCAAATTAAACCCCCAAGTATAAAAAATTGACAAGAAATGTTTCCAAATAATAAGTACCGTTAAAGAAAGTAGCTGCACTGTAGGATTCTTGTGCTGCAGCCTTTTCTTCAAAGTTTTCACAACATCTTTGGCTAACCTGAATTTAGCAGCAAGAGAGAGATTGCAGTTTACTACTTGTACTTCAGTAAGATACAAACAAATGAAAAAGAAACAGAAACACATCACAGACATAACAGCAAGAATTATGGAGTTAATTATAAGCCCTGAGGTTTTTAAGAAAATCAATAGTTAATGATCGGTTGTTTCTCTATCTTTTGTCAAATTCACTCAAAGAAACACATAACAATGATAAAGAGGAAATGATCACTCTTTTGAAATAAATTATGGAAAGCATAATTATAAGAACAGAAACCCCTTTCTCCCATCACCTTCAAGCAACAGTTCATGCAAAACCAACTACGGAAATCCAATACTAGTTATTCAGATACACTTATGCAAAAACCATTCCAGTTAATTATGTTTGTAGTCTTGTAGAACCAACTGTTACAAAAACGAAAGGGAAAAAAGTCAACTTTATCCCCATAGATATAAAGTAAGAAACTTTGAAGAGGAAAAGAAAGGAAGGGAAAATACCAATGGTTGGAATTGATGGAATCACAAATATCAATATTCAAAGTCCAATCAGGACCGATCAGTAGCTCGCTTGTGGCCTTCTCCACCCGAACCACAACTGATGAGGCCGGAGAAGTCGTAGACGAAGAAGAAGAAGACGGTGTCGCAAAGGATGATATCATCTTCCCAAGCCTCTCTCTACCGAAAATCGCTACAGCAAAGCTCAGTTCTGCACTTCCACAGCTTGTATCTCTTGGTCTTGTTATTCCTTTTTATGTTCTTGGTTGTTATTTTGTCGGAAAATTTTGGAGAATCGTTTTCTTTTCCCCAAGAAAGTTTCCCCTAGTTTCTTGTTAGGCTCTGTGAGCTTTCTGTGTTTTTTCTTCCTTCCATAGGCACTTTGCCTTTTGGACTAATTTTTCCTGTTATTTCCTTTATGTAGGATATTTCCTAACCTTGTCTTTCTTGTTTTTAAGTTATGCCTGCTTTATCAATGCAGCACAATTACCATGATCAAGTTACAATTTATTTATTATTTTAATAACTAATGAATTGAAACAATTGCGACTCAGGCTAGTGGGAGCATTTCTGGCTGTTCATTTCACATACTTGTCATTTCTTTAAAAAAATATTATATAAAAGATTTAGGATTTGACATATGCTGCACTATTGTGTTTTTTCTATAATTCGATAATCAAAAACTAATTTCATAAATTTAGACATGTAGTTTGTAACTAATTTTTCCAAACCAGTATAAAAGATGTAGTTTTTTTTTTTTAATTTTTTTTTTTTAAATTAAATTTTTATTTTATAAATATTTTTATTATTATTTTTTTCGATTTTTTATTATTTTTATGATTTTATTATGAATTAAAACATTTCAATAACTACAAAAGTATATTTGACCAAATACTCATAAATTAATCCTACTAAACATTACGTACAAAACTACTCCTACTTTAGCATTTGGTGAGTCTTTTAATTCTATATGAGTAATTAACCCTTAACTATATAATCATAATCACTAAAGTTATTATCGACATTATTTCCAATTAGAACAAAGGTAGCCCATTTCCTAATGATTGGCCGATGAGGGGAGGTGAATGGGACTTTTGAGTAAAATATGATTCACAAAGGAGTGTGATAAGTGATAACCCGTATTGAGAGTGTAACTTTTATTAAAAATTACAGATTGTATTATTTAAAAATTTTACTTTACATATAATTTTTTCTTTAGTTTATTAATAAAACTATATTTTAGAAATAATTTTTCTTAAATCAGTAGAATCAGCCAATACAATCATTTTTTCAGAACTTCATAAATTTCAACAGAATAAACTGAACCAACCGATTTTCATGTTACCAAACAAGGCTGGAAGTGATGCATTGTTGAGATCCGCACACTTAAACTAGAAGTGAGACCACTCCTACTATGATGGAGATTGGACAAAGAGATGGGTCATATCCCCATTGGCAATAATTAAAACGATTAATTCTCACATTTAAATCTTCCAATAGTAAAGACTGCCTCCAAAAATTGTATTTTGTACCTGGTCGTATTATCGAATAAAATAAAATTCTGAATTTCTGTTTAATCATTGTCATAAGGGTTGTGACTTTTCCTTTAAGAAAATTACATATACTTTAGACTTTAGTTAATCTCTGGGACATAAATGATAAAAAAAGAAATAATTACATATATTGATATATATGACTAAAATAAAGATTGTCAAAATGTGATTAGTGACTAATGTAGTAATGAAATCATAGTAACTTATTATGTTCAATTTTTAAATTCAAGTTACCATTAACTACATTGTGGGTAACCATCAGGCATATTAGTGTAAATAAGTTTTATTTTAGTAATATTTTTTAAATAAACCCATAAAAAAACTTGGGATGGAAAGAGTGTGTATTTTATCCAACAAAATCATTTTAATCTTTTAAAATTGCATGAAATTTCAATGAGTTTTTATTATTATTATTTTATTTTTAAAGTTCATTGTTCCACGTTAAAATATGGCAATATAACCACATAAACCTTTTCTATTGACAACTACAACTTTCATATAAAATCATGATAGCAATAGAAATATTCATCATGTTTTCCAAACTGAAAGCGCAAGTCTTAGGATGATTTTAATTTTTTTTAGGATGATTTTAATTGGACCGAAATTTGCAGATTTGATCTAGTCTGAACTTTTCAAGTCTGGTTTGGACTGGTCTGAACTGGTTTGATCTGATCTGATAAATGTTTGGTCTAGTCTAATCTATTAAAATCTGATTTAGTTTGATCTGTTTAAATCTGGTCTAGTCTAATCTCAGACCGAAAAGAGTCTCACTAAAAACATCCTTATAAAGAAGAAATCAGACAAGGAATTAATAACATGAAGAACAATAAATCTACCAATAGGCAATATCATTATGCTATATTGTCCGGAGAGGCCATGAATCTATCACTTTTTGCCGCTTTTCTTCAGTCTGCGCCTCCAACTCCCACCTTAGCTTTTTCCTTGAGTCCTACCATCCTGATGAAAGTAAATCCACCAGAAAATAATTAGTAGATAGCCGAAAATAATTAAAGCACTCAGAATAATACTTAGAGAGATAATTGTATGTAGTGTATTCAATGTATTCAGCCTCCTCGTTCTTCCAAGAGTTACAAGAACTTATAATACAAAATTGAGACAAGAAATATTCGGGCAACGTGGTCGCCATGCATGAACTGACGCACCACCATCTTCTGATTTGTAGGACTTATTGCGAGTTGACCCGTGATCTTTGAGATTTGTTGTTGGTCATGTAGCTTCTGGGAAGTAGCACCATGCATGTGCGATGTTCTAGGCGCTTGCGCACCACGTGCGTAGAGGCTCACCATGTGATGATCAGCATGCCATATTCAAATCCCATGGTAGAGGTAAGGTTGCGTCGTGCTCAGCATGTCATGCCTAAGCCTCATTGTAAAGATAAGACCACGTCATGCTCAGCGCGCCATATCTATGTGAATGTGACTCCATGATTCTCATCCTGGGTATGCTGATCATGTATTTCCTTGGGCCTGATGTCCATGTTCGTCTTGTCCATCTCATTTACGGGCTCAACCCACATTCAATCGGGCTTACCATATTGGGCTGGTATTTATGTCATCACAAGCCCCCCACTTCCCGAGCCGAGTAATAAATCGGTGAGAGGAAGTATACATCAACTACTCAAATAAAGGCATATTATGCCACATAAGACCACCATTTCATCTGTCTTAAACACGCTCATGCCGAGCGCGTCGCTTAGAGTAGTACGCCAATGATCCTCACTTCCGTCTGTGCTGAGCATGTCACTTATAGGGTGTTACACCAAGAAATAAATAAGTTGTACATGCTGACCATGGCACCACCAAGGCCTGCTGAGCATGTCACTCATAATGTGTTACATCAAGTAATAAATAAACCGAACACGTTGACCATGTCACTCCCAAGGCCTGTTGAGCATGTCGTCCCCAAGACTCGTCAAGCATGTCTCTAATAAGGTGTGTTGAGCATGTTACTCTAAGACTTGCTGTGTATGTCACCCATAAGGTGATACACCAAATAATAAATAAATTGTTCATGCTGAGCATGTCACTTAGAGTACATGCTGAGCATGTCACTTAGTAGTATAGTAAGGATATTCATCTTGTACATGGTGATCATGTCACCTTAAGTAGAATATCGAGTCTCTCATTTGTACATGTTGAGCACGTTACTTTGAAATTTTCCACTCAAGATCACTTGCCAATGTTCACCATGTCTTTCATATTATTACCAATCATTTTTCACCCAATCATTAATTTGTCCCAAGACGCGATTTCATATTATTAACCCAATATTGTTCATCTTTCAAGAACTCCAACAGTCCAACCCTGTAGCTACACCGCGGAGGACATGCTGCTGCCGTGCTGGAGTGACCCGCCGCCGCCCCGGAAACACTAATCGCCATTTCCTCAGAGACGTTGACTGTCGCTGCCCCGGAGAAACCGAATACCGCTGGTCTGAAGAAGGTCGTCGTAGCTCTGGAGAAACAGAACCGCCGACCTATTGAACCGCCGGAACAGGCCGCCTTCTGTCAGTCGCTGCTACGCCCCGTCACCGGCCAGAACCCCTGGCGCCGTCGTCTTCCCTTGCAGACTCCAGACCAAGGCCGGAGAAAGCCGCAGCCCCTCTTCGATTCTGCGAGTGGTCGGCAAGGCTGAGAGTTCGACGCAACACCGCACGCCACCACGACCACTGCCGTCGCCCTTCCGTTCTTGGTCCGCGCCGTCGCCGGCCTGGTAGGTCGCGCCAGTCGCCCGCTGCTAGGCGTGGCTTTTGCTGAGCCGTTCATTCCTCCAAAGTGAGGTAATTTCTCTCCAACTTATCTTCTTATTTTGACCTCTTTTTAATTTTGACTTCTATGTTTTGTTTGCTTCATTTCTAAATTGTTATTAATGTGCATTTTATGTTAATATACGTGGGTAGGACTTAGAAGATGTATCCATTTTCCTTTTTTGTAGATCATTAGTAAAAGACCTTCTTTGTTGTAATTAATCAATTTTTTTAATTAGCTGCTGATTCCCTTTTTTTTTCGGTAACTAGCTGCTGAAATGTACTACCTCCGTTCGTAAATAAATGCAACATATGAAAATTTGCATTGTTCACATGATATACTTTGACTACGTTTTATTTATTAATGTATGAATACATTTTTATGAAAAAATATTGTTAAATTCGTCTCATTGTAAACTTTCAATATCAAATAATTTTTTTTAATCGTTTTTTTTTGCTAATATAAATTTATATATATTAATGGTCACAGTTGTGCCTTCGCAAACGTGAAATATTGACCGTTGCATTTATTTAAGAGCGGATGAAGTATTTTATTTTATGTTTTGCTAATTTCTATTTATTCGTATTTTAGCTTTCTGTATCTTATGGATGTACTGGACTCCATAGACTTAAGAGATCTCCCGGAACCGGTTAATGGAACGACTTTAGAAAATGTACCTTGGATAGATGATATTTCTGATACTGAGGTAGTTAATCCAGAGCCTTCAATAGCTGACTTGGTGAGACCGAAAAAACGTCGCCCTCGTGGGTTATACACCCCTTTGGATGCGACTCAAATTGAATCGTGTAAATCACGACTCTCGGTTTCTGAGTTTGAGAGATGTCGGAATCTTTTCCCGTTCGACGTTACCATGCTCCGCCCGAACCAAGATGACGTAGTCACTGAGCCCCCTGAGGGTGATTTTTTCGGGATACATACCCTCTCTATGAGACTAGGATTTAGGCTCCCCATGCATCCTTTCATCATTGAGTTCCTAGGTGCGCTTGAGATTCCTTCGTGCCAGCTCACCCCATTTGGTCACCAGTACCTGGTGGCATTTTTGGCCCGGTGTAAGGAGATCAAGGCTAAGCC